TGTACGGGTCACGGTTGAATTCTTGAAGCAATTTTTTCTTTGAATAAGATAGCAGAGGAGTCATGGCACTGTCGCAACTCGGGAATGCACTGCAAGGGCTCCTAAGACTTGCCTTGACCGCTGCCGTTTTGAAACTTGCGCAGTTTGCGTGCTTTCTACGCCCTCTCGCACCACGTGCTCTCTCCTGTGTTCTCTCCCTTACCGCGCTGTCTTTTCGTCGTCCCACTTTCGTCCTCAGACGAAAAGGAAGTCCTTAATCTAGTTACTTTCTATGGTCCCTTTTACTTTTTTTCTCCTCGCTGACGGTTGTCCTCTCAGCCCCTGTTTAGTTTCCGACGGATTTACACAGCAATTCGATTGCGACCCGTGCCATCAATGGTCAAATTGAACAGTCCTATTCTGGTCATCCTTGTTTAAAAAATAACAATGTTTTAAAAACTTGTGTGGTGACTAAAGTTGTCCTTTTCGATAGTTTTGCTGCGATTTCTAGAATAAATGATTTTTTTATTTGTGTCTTGGTGTTTTTACATTTCACTTCATTTTATTCTTCATAGGAAGTTTTTTCCTCTATATAAAAATTCCACATTTTCTTCTGTGCCATTCACTCTTTAAAAAATTCCATTAGTTCCATAGATCTCATCCAATTATGATTCGATTCTTACCCATAGTAATGCGTCGGCGTTTTTTTTCACGTCTCTTTAAGTTTCTTCGTTTTCTACTATCTTTAGATAATAATATCAATTGAACCAATAAGTCAGGAATGGCATTCCAGTGGAGTGATGGTTTTGATCGGGCAGAATGCTGCGATTTTTGTGTCGCGCCAAGTGGATCTTTGTTAGGCCTGCTCTTGTTAGAGATCGGCGCTTCTCATCTTACCTAGTGTAGCCATAAGATCATCTCAGCGTTCTCATTTCGGCGTGGTAGAGCTAAATTCTGCGAAATGAGTTACAAGGTTTTATGCTCGGAAGGGCACTCATTGACATTGAAAATAAGGGGCAATAGATCGTTAACCTTGAGCTGGGGCGTTTTGAATTGCCATCCTCAGAAAAGAGTTCCGTGAACTTTTTCTTACATCGATTTACCTATACCCAATCATTCTGTCAGCTCTTGTCTGTTTCGCACTATCTTCAACGGTTGGACCACTACTAGGTATTGGAACTACTCCTCTATATGTCTCGGAACCATTCACTACCGTTCCTTTACGCCCTTTTGTTGGCTTAGTATGGCGAAACAGTTAAGGAAAGACCCAAGTATGCCTGCTCGCTCCGCCGTGCGCTGGCACTACGTTGCGTTCATAATTCGCGCTTAACAGAACAGGGATTTCCGTAAGCAGGGTGAATAACGGTCGAGGAAATCCTCGACAGGGGGTCGTATTTGCTCCGATGAGAGTTGGGAGGGGGTCGTAATCAAAAGGTTCATCAACGGACACAACGGTGCTGCTGCCACTTATTTGCTAGCCTAATGCAAATAATATCTTACTGTCTGGAATTAAAATTCAAATGGAAAGTGGTTGTTGGTTTGGTTCGTAGTGATCAGTATGGCATAGGAAGGCAACGCGTCCTGCAAAAGAATCGTAGGGAAAGGGCAGCGAGTATCTACTCTAGAATGATGTACACTCCGTTTCATGCAGCCAGAAATCCACGTGGCACACGTGGCTAAATTCTCGATGAAAAGGTGACGTCACGTGTGCTCAAAGATGTTCTTGAATCGATGCCACGTTAATGCCACGTCAATTTCTGCAATTGCACATTTTCTGGTTATTTGAAGGCGAGGGTACATGCTTGAGAGTGGAGAAATGGAGAAACAGTGGAGAAACATTTCAGTATAGAAAGTTCAAAACAGGCAGATTCGCAGCCTTCTTGGCATCATCAGATCCTGCAACCGCAAGCGTGTCATTCATCAGAACGGGTTGGAAAGGAAGCGATTTGAATAAAGGAATGATCAGACATCACTATGACCACAAGAGTTATCCTAATTAGTTAATACTGGAAATATCTTTGGTGTGCTTAAGCAAGTCGTCACTAGGACAAAACACCTTCCCAATGACTCCGAGTGGGGTCACTGCATGGCGCATACAAGAACGGAATGGATCTGCGCCAAGTGCATCATTTTCAATTTACTCCATCGAACTGACGTGTACAGAAGCATTTTGAAGGTGTTCAAAGAAGTTCCCTACTACGGCGAGGGAGTAATAGAGTTTTCGAGTGGCTTCGAAAATTTCCTTGACATTTCCTCGACGCAGATTTCTCGCGAACTAGAAAGCGTTCGAAACAACTGGAGCACCTATCAGAAAGCGTAAATCTTCTACTTTACAACGCTTTCCTCGATTTTCAAAGCATTGCCAATGAAGACAGCTACTGTCTTCCAAAGAGTGGGAACTCGCATGTAAATTTCAATTTCCTCGACAATTTCTCGACGTCTCCCACTCTCGAGAATAGGCGTGCTTAGAAAAACGCTCAGCACAATTTAGAAACTAGAAGTCTTGTGCATTCAAAAGCTGCCTTCACTTTCTGAAATGGTTATCAATGAAGAAAGTTATAGTCCTTTAAATAGGGGGTACATTTGACGATTTTTCCAACTAGCGCGCTCTAGGCACAGCGCGCGACGCGATCGCGGGTAGTTAGCGCCGCTATACTGGAGCGCGAGACTGTTCAACTGTGTAGGGGCAGTACCTCCTTCAATGTTCTACTTTCCGGCCAATGTGGCAAAGGTTAAATGTCTTTAAAGGAAAGAAGGAGAACCTAATCTGAGCAGAATTGAATCTAGCATTTGGATCAAGCCGCATTTGCGTGGCAGCGGCGCTGCGTCCCTCTCGCACATCTGAAACTAGCATTTTTTGATATGAAACCGGATGTGCAGAGGACAAAAAGGGGTCGTATCAGAGTCCATGTTTTGGAGGGGGGTCGTAAAGAGGCGGTTATTTCCTCGACACGATTTTCACCCTGTCGTAAGTGATTGGCTCAATCATTACGAAACTCCTATTCCCCTTGATTGTGGCTCCGCCTCTCAGTATATTGTGCAATTAAACGCAGTCATTGGAGTCCTGACCAGGGTCAACCCTATGTTGCTACAAGTAGCAACGGGGGGTCGTATTTTGGTGAGTTTGTAGGGGGGTCGTACTTGCTTAGGTTGTAAGAAGTGGCATGTGATGAGAGGGGAGCGGCGCGGGAGAAAATTTGTTCCAGCGCGCGTACCCCCTCCCCTAGAAAATGGAGCAGTTGAAATATGGGTAAAACATAGGGAAATTGCAAGGAAATGTAGGGAATTTTTGCGGTTTTAAGGGTTTTAAGGGAAGTGCCCCCTCGACGGTAATTTTTTGGGGTAAAAATTGGTCGGAAAGGGGGGGGGGTCGTAGGAAACTTTTCCTGAAGGAGGGGGGTCGTAAAAACTTTTCGAAAAGTAGCAACGATAGGACTGACCCTGGTCTGACTGCCACACACCAGGTTCTTTTTTTTTGCTTGAAATCAAGATATCGGTGTCATTTTAGCCAATTCAGTGATGCCGAGATTTACTGTCATGTCTCAAGGACGACGCCCCACCTATTGATGTCATGCTTCATCTACCTTTCCAAGTCTACTTAAAAAGCTAATAGCTAGTTCTGCTCACAGACCGACACATAGGTAAACAGGCGAACAATGCAAGCCGGTATACATATATTAGCACATAATATTGCATATCAATTGTTACAATGCTGGGATAAACAACAGTGAGCACAAAAAGGTAGAACAAACTGGTCGTCCAGAAAAGTGTACAGCTATTCAAAAGGTGCACGCTGGCTTCCGATCAGTCCGCCGGATATCATGGTGGCAAGAAGAGTGAACAGCGCTCCGACCACAGCCAGCCAGTAGGAGTAGCCCAGATAGACGTTGGCGATCAACTCGTAGGATATCGATGACATATAAGCTGAAATGTAACGGCTAAATTGGGTCCAAAACAGCATCGGAAAGTAAGCACTCACCGACTTTAGTCGAATAGCGAACTCCGAATACCAAAATTGCGATGAAAAGGCAGAGAAAAGCAAGTGCGCAGATTGTGGAGGTTGGGACGCCCAAACGGAAACGATCGGAGAACAGAGCAAAGAAACATCCTTAATTATGTCAAATAGTTGAGAATTACTTCACGAAGCACGACTCGTCGCAAGTCGGGAAGTCGCGCACTAATAAATGTCGTTCAAACAGCGTTTCACTGGGTATAAGCAAAATGCTTAAAATAAACCAGAATTTTCTGCTCCGAAACCTCATTTTGTCCTAAAACTATGTGACGCAACAATAGGAATTGGTGTATTTCTTCCAAGGGTGGACTTGGTCTCCGTGGTCAAAACATAAATTCTTACACTGTAGGGTGCGGTGTGGCGTTTCGAATAAGTCAAAGGCACGGGTCGGGATCGAGCTGGTCTGTTATTTTGTTCGAAAAAAAAGAAGGCGATGAGGAACGTTGGTGAGGAGGAAAGCAAAAAACGCCAAAGTAATCAGGAATTCCCCTTGTTAGGGCGACTGCGGTACGACGTAGAGACCCAGTACTGCAAGAAGAGGTAAAACGCTTGAGATTTCGTCGCGTGTCCTCACGCAAGAAAGGCCTGTTCTTGACAACCAATCCTAACCCCTGGTTTTGAAGGCTAATTTTACGATGAAAAGGAAGCCTATTGGAAATTAAGTTGGAGATGGTCGGGGAAGAGAAAAAAAAGATGAAAAACGGCCTAGAACCCGAGAAATGGGACCCCTTCCTTGCCCGTTGATTTCCGCATTGATGCGACTCTCATCGGTGCTGCCCTCTTCAACGCTAACGCTCTCTCTGCTAAACGGCTAGAGGCTCAGACAGCGAGTAGGGGGAGTAGCGATAGTGCGCCAACTACCGCCGCGGGGAAGGCCATGCTAGATCGCTGAACGCATTTTCTTGATGCAAATTGCGTGTTGGTCCGTACCCTCAAGAGGTCTACCTGTCTCTCCACTTGGTGAGTTTGCCCTTCTTCGACCTTCGCCCTTACTGCGGAATCCTCCTTTTAGGGGGTAGTTGCAATGGCTTCGCTGGCGGAGTGGCTGTTTCTCTTAATGCTCTAACACCAATTACGTCTTCCAATTGCCTCCGTTTACCGGCCATCGAAAACGCCTTCTTATGAAGATATGCAGCCAAATATGTAGTACAAACACTGTGTAACCACACTTAGTAAAAAATACCAGCTTTTTCGAAACAACTCAAAATAGAAGTACCCACCTATGGCGATTCCCTGAAGGATACAAGCAACGATGACGAGAGCAAGTGTGACCTTTTCATGTGAAGCCTTTGACTAAATTTAGAATCCGTAAAGAATATCATTAGGGTTTATCTAGTCATGTGTGAATCAGAAACCTCATTCATGTAAACTTAGTAAGCTAGCAGCTCCTTTATTTGGTGTGAGGTTAATGAAGTTGTATGTATGCGTGTAACTGGTGAAGATCCTTGAATGCGATAACTTACATAAGCCCATCTCGAACACTCATACTCGGCCACTTCGCGATTTCCGTCGCCGCAGTAGTGCGAGACGAGGCCAAAGTCAGGAGCGCCGTCGCCCTAAGAGGAATTCAAAGCTAACTTCGAAATTTCACACTTATACTATGAATTGAAAGAAAAGCATAGAATAAACAGTGTTAGTCATTCCGTTTCTTGTATGCGCCACGCATTATACTTACATTCGAAATCGTAGTGACACTTTGAACGGAATTAGATCTGCACATGCAATGACTGAGGGGGCTATTATTTACAAATATGTTTTTATTCACCCAGTACCACTTAACCTATCCTGGGGAAAGGAATGCCTCGGGCGGCGTAGGATTCGGGATCTGGGATCATACTCTGAACATGTGCGTGACAAGCAGCACGCCACTACACCACTTCCGCCCATACAACGAAATAATGAAGATGACACTCAAAAAGTGTTGTTAAAAATTTCGTGAATCTCAGCTCCCATTGTTACAAAAAGTAGCAATAGAATTTCTCCCAGCACTCTGTCAAATGCCCACCCAGACAGAGGTGCACTCTGTCAAATGCCCACCCAGACAGAGGTGCTTATTTTGCAGTCGTCTTCAACGTTTTATTGTAATCCAGATCATATTCGATCTCTTTGTAAAATGTGGTAAACGTTGGTGCCGTAATCCGAGAGCTATAAGTGCCAGAGACAGTCACAAAAACGCAATGAGAAGATGAAGGGTCCAAATATAACTGCATTGTCAGATGTTTTTATGGAATTCCTATGCCTACAATCGCCGATTTAACATTCGTGTGATAAATGTCGCCCAAAAAGACCTTCACATAAATTCAGTGCTCAGCTTACCAACACTTTGATTTCGGAATCTTTCTTTTTGTCCATAAATATATACTTGATCGCTATCGTTTTTGGTTGCTGTTCGCTTTTCAAAAGTTGTCATTACCCTATATTACATATAGGGTTGGTCCATAAGTCTTGCAACAAACTGGCCAAATTTTGATTTTAATATTTTATTATCTTTTTGTTCCATTCATCCAGCATGCTACACACCATCAATATCTACAACCTATTGCCAACGCACTAGAAGCTGTTCGATGCCTCTCTTGTAGGACTCTACTGAATTCTGATCGAAGAAAGATCAGATGTCGATTTTGACATCATCATGGTTAGGATGAGATTTCTTCTCTAGGAGTGGTCTGGAGAGGGAAGCAGAAGGGCATCCTTTGGCACGAGGTCAGGGCTATAAGGTGGATACGGAAGAACTCTCCGTCCGAGAGTCCCAAAATTTTCCTGGAGAGGTGGTTCAACGGTGTCATAAAAAAGCAAACTTTGCCTTGCTTTTCTTTCGTATTATTAGGTTGGCCAGTTTGAAATGTCGTTTTTGACTAACATTTGTTTTTATTATAAAAACAAAAGCAAAGCTCTTGAGTCTTAAATATATTCCCCATCTATATTTATGACTTTTCTACATTTACCACTCGAAATATGGATGTCCTCCTCGAAGAACTCTCCCGGCTGCGACTCGAAAAAGTTGGGAACCCAAATATTGACGTCATCGCGGTTACTCAGTCTCCTTCCCTACTAAGGAAAGCTACGCTGACCTGAATAAATGGTGAATGGACGGTGCCAGATCTGGGCTAAATGGCGCGAAGGCAGAACGTCCCAGCTTAACTCCTCGATTTTCTGCTGCGCTATTTTCGCAACACACTCCGCTTGGCAAGTGTCGTTTTGCAGCTGCAAAATTTGGTTTTTGCACCGATTTACTCTACCAATCACTCGTAAATGCTATCGTTTGTAGCTGCAGTGTAGCCAAACCCCTTAGGATTTCACATCGTGAATACTTTTGTTAAGTGCCATTTCTAAGTTCTTCATTAGCCAGAATTGCAAGAAAATTCTGATGAATTTCGCCTTTGTGCTTTCTGCCTCCTTTTAGAAAACGCAGCGGTCATCGCAAGCACTGCCGCAAGATTTTGCACAGAACACGATAGAACTCCTTACCCAATTTCCTTTGTTTGGGGTTATGTCACATGCACATGTCCACACGATGTTTCTGACCAAACGTCTTCAAACAAAAATTGTGGCTTGAATTCAAACATTCACAGGCAGATACAACATCGTGCACACAGTCTCTCGAATGAGTGCACCCGCCTTGTGAGAGGTTGTGCTATAGCTCAGAAACTACGATGCAAATAGGAGCGACATTTCAATCTGGCCAACCATAATAGTTTAAATTTTGCGATGTAATGATGTGGGTGATGGTGGAGTCGTATAACTTCGTTGGGGGGGGGCACGCGACGGCGGCGGGCAAGTCCGCTTCGGCGCTGCAATGTTCGGGAAATCCGTGGCGCTGGGGAATGTACGTCAGCCCTTAGGGGTGTCGGGGGTGGGGGAGTCACTTGAACATGTCGGCTGAAAGACACTGAATTGTTGGCTTACAACTGTCTCGCTCGCGACGAAGCCCAGGTTATCAGACTTGCCGCGCCCGCCGGCGGTGCCACCCCCGCTAACTAAGTTTAGCACCAGCGAAACGATGTGATTCAATTTTTTAGGTTTGAGCGTTTTCTGACATTAATTAATCGTTGTTCAGGACATGATTCTGGCTTACTCTGATGCGGCTCTCATGGATAGTTTGTTTCACATATGTTACTCGGAGAAAATAGGGCATAGGGACGATGCATGGTTTAGTGACAAGTGTAACCCTTAGTAACAAGGGTCGGTGGTATCACCATTCAAGAGTCAGGTCTGCGCTGACCGGCGTACCGCATCCCTCCATCCCCGGACGTCTAACATACAGTGGCACACGACACCCTTCGTTCGCAGATTCGGCTTCTTACATTAGATACGGATAAGTACCTGATCGGGTTGTACATCAGCAACCTCCTCATTCACGCGAGTTTATTGTGATAACTCACCGAAGTGCTGATATCCTTCTATTTTATAAAGCGCTAACTTTGTGTGTCGGTTTGTGTATCTGTATGTGTGTGTGTATGTATGTATGTGTGTCCGTCCGCAAAATGAAGTGAGTGAGAAGGAAGCTCATGGGATAAACAAACCGCTAACAAATCGGGTAGCTTACAGGATTTGAGATATCAATGTGTTTTGTAGCAGGATAGTTGTGATAACACTCTTAGGGCTATATAAACACCTGCTTAGCACACTTCCGTTCATTCCACATGGTGCTGCAGTGGCAGCTGGAGGGCAGTGGAGAGAGGAAGGGAGGATGAGGAAGGGAAGCGAAAAATCTACCGTCATATCATGATTGTGTCCCTTCTACTGTTTGAAACACCATTGTGTTGCATACGCGTCACTTCCACGAGGTGTTGGTGTCACAGGAGGAAGGGACCATAGCGGAGGATAGAAAGCTTGCGCAGGAAAGGAAGGTCCCGGCGGTTGACGGGGGACTAATCTGGTAAATAAAATATAATTTTCCTATACCGTCGTAAGATCAAATACATTGTCATGCAACGGTCAATTTCCTAGTGCCTTGCGTATCGACTGTATAATGATCCCTACTATATATAATGCGCTAAGTCTGTCTGTCTGTCTGTCTGTCTGTCACGAAATTCCGTATTAAGCGGACAACAACCTACTGGGTCCAGGTCAAGTATGGGATGGGTGTACCATATCTCGAGAAGTAAAAAACATACATTACCTAAGCGGAGCCCGCCCACAGTGGGCGTGGCGTGCGTCGAAATGAGTGGTACTGAGGACCATGATTTCAAATTCAGTCACAAAACAGCCTCGAGACCGGGACAAAAGTGGGTATAGGTGTGCGTTGGTAAGCCAGATCGAACTGAGGAGACCCACCCTCGGTGGGCGGGGCGTTCTCTAAAAAATGGGTGCTCAGTGAAAATATTCATAACTCGGTTAAGAAGAAGCCTACAGACCAGAAACGAAATTAGTGCAGGGGAGCAATGCCTAAGGTATTTCCACCACGCATGATGTGAACGGAGGCCCGCCCACAATGGGCGGAGCGTGTCGTGAAGCGGACAGCGTTTTCTACAAGAGCTCATAAATCGGCTCCGAGATGACTTAGAGACCGGAAAACAGCGGATAGAGGTCAGGAGGGGAGGGGAAGCTAAATGTCAGGAATGGGCGTGGCTTACATCAAAGTGGGCGGAGTTTGCAATTAGGCTTATAACTCGGTTCCTAGGAGTCCCGGAGTCCGGGAAAAAAGCGTATAAGGGTTGGCAGAGGGAAAGGGGTCAACCGCTGTTGGCGGGCGGAGCATGCGCCAAAGTGGGCGGGGTTTGCCACGGTACTTCATAACTCGGTTCCAATAAGTTCTGGAGATGGGAAAAAAGTAGAAAAAGGTTGGGGAAGAGATGATAGTCAACTGATATCAGTGGGCGACCCATGCACCAAAGTGGGCGGGGTTTGCCACAAGATACGTAGCTCGATTTCGTCCCCTACAAGACCTCATAATTCTGCTCCGAGACGACTTAGAGACCTGAGAAAATGTGTATAGGAGTGAGAGGAGGAGTAGAGGTTGAATGTGGTGCTGGGCGTGGCACACCCCGAAGTGGGCGGAGTTTGCCACCACTCTCATAACTCGGTTCCTAGAAGCCCCAGCGCCCGGGAAAAAAGTGGATAAGGGTTGCCGTAGGGAAAGGGGTTAAATGCTATTGGTGGGCTAAGTGTGCACCAAAGTGGGCGGGGTTTGCCCCAGAAATTCATGACTCATAACGTCTTCTACAAGACCTCATAATTCGGCCCCGAGATGACTTAGAGAACCTGAAAAAAAATATGTGTAGAGGTGAGAGGAGGAGTAGAGGCTTGAATGTGGACGCTGGGCGTGGCACACCCCGAAGTGGGCGGAGTTTGCCACCGCTCTCATAACTCGGTTCCTAGAAGCCCCAGCGCCCGGGAAAAAAAGTGATTAAAGTGTTGTTTTCCTTTGACAAGGGATACTTAACCCTTCTATCGATGGGTTATTAGTGTGCACCATAGGGTGCGGCGGGTTTGCTCCCAAGAAAATTCATGAACTCATCAAGTCGTCCTTCTACAAGACCTTCCATACATTTGGCCCCGAGTGATTAACTCCTAGGAATTTCAAAAAAGTATTGTCAGTGAGAGCGAGAAATCATAGTTGAAATTGTAACGCCTGCGCGTCGGCACTGCCCGAAGTGGGCCGGAAGTTTGCCATTCACCTCATAACCGGATTCAACGTTCACGACGACGCGGGAGAAAACTGTGGATAACAGGTTGCCTTGAGGAAAGGGTTTACACCTGCTAGATCGGTCGATCGCCGGGTAGCTTGCACAAAAGTGGGCGGAGTTATGCACGAAACATTATTACTCGGTTCCAAGAAGTCTTGGACACCAGGAAAAAAGTATAGAGGTCAGCGAAAGAAATGAAGTCTCAGTGGGCAGGACATGCGCAAAAGTGGGCGGGGTTACCCATGAATTTCGAAAGAGGAGTGTCTCCAAAGCAGCCGTACCTTGGAATCTCACTCAGCAGCTCTGCAGTAATAGAGAGAGAACATTGGTCACAGACATAATTTTTCAGCCTTACCACCTTCCGAAAAAACCCTGTCTTGGAAGAAAGACCCTCTCCGAAACCGCCTTATAGTTATAATAGAAAATATAGTTTGACCTAATAGTCGGTGTAAATGGGATGTACCGAAAGAAAACTAAAATCTAGAAAAGAACAGTGATCATCCTGTTTGAACCCCCGTGTGATGCACGCGAATGCGTGCGCAGCCAAACTGGTATATCAATATATATGAGGTAATTGCCAATGTTATTTTAACATATTGCCCATAAGTAGAGAAGTGGATTCTCTTTTCCGACATAAGTAGTACCTGACCAATTAATGATTAACACGACGGGGGACGATGCGGGACACATATGTCCCGCGGGAGACACTTGTTTTGCCCAATT